TGGCCCTCATTGAGTTTCCACATTCTGCCCCCACAGAATGGAATTGTAGGGCCCTGGTCTAGACTGCAGCATGATCAAGACATTGACCCACAGCAGATAATGATCTTTAGGATCCCTATCAAGATACAGCAAAATACTACCTGGGCATAGTGGTACACATTTTTTTTTTCTGAGGCAGGGTTTCTTTTTGTAGCCTTGGCTGTCTGTCTTAGAATTCACTCTGTAAACCAGGCTGGCCTCGAATTCAAGAGATCCGCCTGCCTCTGCCTCCCAAGTGATGGGATTAAAGGAGTGCACTACCACCTCCTGACCCTGATCCAGTCTTAAACAGCTCGTACAAAGGTGATTTCAGCACCTAGGATCACACGCCTTCAATTCCAGCACTGGGGAGGTAGAGACAGGAATGATATGGCTGGGTGGAGAAAGGAATATGAGGAGGAGGAGACAGGATCTGAGAGCTTTTTGCCTCTGAGGATTCATGGAGACAGGATTGCCATTCAGCTAGATAGAGATAAGATCTACTGGCTTGTCTGCTTTGCTTCTCTGATCTTCAGCTTGAAGCTTGAACCCCAATATCTGTCTCTGAATCTTTAATCTGAGCATTCAGGAAGCAGAGGCAGAAGCAGGAGGATCTGTGTGAGTTCAGCCAAATCAGCCTGGTTTACATAGCAAGTTCCAGCTGAAACAGAGCTACAGAGTACCTGGTTTAAAAAAAAATTATTTTTTACCAGGCATTGGTGGCACACGCCTTTAATCCCACAACTCAGGAGGCAGAAGCAGGTGGATCTCTGTGAGTTCAAAGCCAGCCTGATTTACAGCGTGAGTTACAAGACAGTCTCCAAAGCAATACAGAGAAGCCCTGTCTTGAACCCCCCCCCCAAAAAAATTATTTTTCATCTGTAGCTCGACAGATAGCCTAGTAGTTAAGAATACTTCCTGCTTTTCCAGAGGACCACAGTTCAATTCCCAGCACCCATTTCAGGTGGCTCACAACTGCCTGTAACTCCAGCTCCAGAGATCCCTTGCTTTATTCTGGCCTCCTTGGATATCTGAACACATGTGGTTGCAGACACATATACACATAAATAAAAATAAATTAACAGTAAAAACCCTAGCCAGATGACCTCCAGTTGTGGCCATGTGGGAACAAATCACTCTTGTCTCATTTCTCTGCTGCATAGTTTTAGGCTGAAGCTTCATTGTCCCTGCAGTGTCAACATATTTCAGGAGGTCCCAAAGCTCAGAACCTAGAATCTGTTCCTGGTCAGCACAATCTGAAGGAAGCAGAAAACATCTGAGATAAAAGTGAAAGACCCTTCCTTCCTTCCGTGTTCTCGAGTAGAACACCACCTCCCCAGGCTGGCTCAAATCAGCTCCTTCCATCTTCCTCACAACCAGTCTTCTAGATACATGAATCCTAGCTGGGCACCTGACTTTGAATTTAAGAGGGTGCCAGGTCATTCTCTGTTTACCAGACCAGTTGTACCCTTTACCAATTGCCCCACCTGCCACTCCCAACCCCTACACTATTTGGGATATCTTTGCTATCCCCTCAACCCCAAAGGCCTTTCTTGCTCCTGCCCCTTGGTGACTCTCAGCTGTTCCAGAAAATACCCCAAACTTGGTTGCTAGCCACCAAGATAAAGTCCTGCCCGGCTTCCCTTGATATTTTGTTCATTCCCCTTCCTGTTTCCCTTGGTCCCTACGACCTGATACTCCACAGCCATCCTAGCCAAAGTTAGAGTCACTCCACATGGTGTTAGATGGTCACAGTCTGTACCTGCAAATCTTTATCATCTTATTAGCATCATTGTCATAGGAGAGTTGACAAACCATACACCTCAGGTGTCTGAGGGGTAGGAGAACTAGGGAGGAGATACTGAGAATGGGCTGAGATTTGGGAGGATGTTTTCAGTCTTAGATAGCTGATAGACATTTCCTTCCTGTTAAGATTTGGGCTCGGGCTGGAGAGATGGCTCAGAGGTTAAGAGCACTGACTGACTGCTCTTCCAGAGGTCCTGAGTTCAATTCCCAGCAACCACATGGTGCCTCACAACCATCCGTTATTAGATCTGGTGCCCTCTTCTGGTGTGCATATATACATGAAGCAGAATGTTGTATACATAATAAATAAAATCTTTAAAAAAAAAAAAAAGATTTGGGCTCAAAATTGTCCTGGTTGCTTTGAGAGGCCCAAAGGCTGTGGGACCTTTGGAGGAGGCTATATTGCAGACCCAGACTTTGCTGTTCCTGAGACCTGCATGCTATATGGCAGAGAGCAATATCTGAGGGTTTCCTCTGTGGGCCTTTGCCATCATCAGGTCCAACCCAGGATGAGCTCATATCCTGGGGAACCCAAAACTGGGGGCTAGAAGGGGCTGGAGCCTTGGCCAAAGCCTTATGGGAGAGCAGAGGTCCTGCCCTTGGTTAAGCAGCACATGCAAGCAGCCTCCCCACCTTGTTTGGTCTCCCTCTGCTTCACTGTCCCAAATCCAGTTGGCCTAGGTGGTCAGAGTTCCCCTTTCCTGGAGCCTTATGGAGTACTGCCCTTCTACTGGGATGGAATATCAAAAGCCAGGCTCCCTGACCTCAGCCCCAGGTGGCAGGCTCCATTTCCTCCTCCCTGGGGATCCTGGTGCCGGGGTGGAGGCTGGAGTCCTTATCAGACCACAGGTTTTCCTGAGGAAGGAAGGCTGGGTGTGTATTCCAGGACAGGCGCCTCTCTGGGTGTGCCTAGGCCAGCAAAGAGGGACATATGCTCTGCCATTCCTCCTGGAGTGAAGATAGCTTCTCCTTGGGAAACTCAGGACCACAAAGACAAAGCAGTCCACATTCTGGAGATCAGAAGCCTGGGAGCAGAGGCACACATTCCCTGAAATCTCTGACAATGTCAGCACCATCAGAGAAGAGCCTACAGCAGCCCCACCAGATGCTCAGAGGGTCTTGTAACCTGTTCAGCTGAAGAGATATGCATGGTTGGGTTCACCAAACCACATCCATGACATGAACAAAACCACAGAAGAATAGCACCATCCTCTTATGGGTGCTGAACAAGATGCCTTCAGCTTTTGGGCATTTATCAAGCTATATCCTTAGAATATGCATACCTTCCTATAGGCATATGATATATAAGCTACACACGGGGTGGGGGTTGTATCTAAGAAGCCCTCCATAGATCCTTCCAGGGGGAAGAATGTTCCCTGAGGACTGCTTGTCTTGTGTCCTGACTGGGCCAGCCCCTGAGGCTACCTTTCTCTCTTCAGGGAACTCACAGGACCCTCTTAGAGGGAATAAATCCAGGGAGGGAAAGGGTGCCCTAGGAGAAATCATGGTTTGGAGCAGAGCCTGGCTGGCCAGGCTGACCACCAATGATGCCTCTGCCTTGCTAGGCGAGGCTCATGAGCAGCCCCCTCCTTCCGCTACTTTAGGGTAGAAGGATTAAACTGTATGGATAGGACCAGCAGATGTTGAGCCCACCTCACTAATGTGGGCAACTGGCCAGGGAGCGTTGGCGTGAGACAAGGGAACTGCCTGCCTCACCCACTAGAGGTTGCCCCTCCCTCCTCCCTCAGGGTCTGATCTCAGCAGCCTCTACCCCTTCCGCTTCCAGAGGCCCAGGGGCTATTTTTAACTTGGCTGAGCTGCCAGAGTAGAAGGTGGACCAAGCCCTAGGGGGAGGGCCCAGGAGAAAGGGCCTAGCAGTTGCTGTCCAGCCCCCACCCTCTAGAGGTCCAGGCATCCTAGGGGCACTGGTCATTCTTAACCTTACAGGAGAAATAGTATTCCATTCACTACCAGAGTTACAAAGGAAGGCCACACAGAAACTGAGGTTCAGAGATACACTTGAGACACACATCAAATGCACACATCTACTGTACCAAAATTCATACTTATTCTCTCTCCTCTCTCCTCAGTGTGTATGTGCGTGCGTGCGTGCGTGCGTGCGTGCGTGCGTGCGTGCGTGTGTGTGTGTGTGTGTGTGTGTGTGTGTGTGTGTGTGTGTGTGCTGTTGTGGAATGTAAGGACTAGATGCTGAAGTAAAGGAGAGAACTGCTTGGCCCAATTTGTCCTTCTTCACAATTACCAGCCCAAAAAGGATACTCCAGGTTCACAACACTCTCCTCACCCTGGAAACACCTTCTGATTCACAATTCCACAAGAAACAGGCTTCCCAGGAATCTGAGCTGAGCTGAGCTCAAAGGCATCTTCCAAAACCCTCATTCTCAGTCCCCACAGAAAGGACAGGAAACTCAGGATGGACTAGAAGGGCAAGAGTAGTATTCTCCTTGTCCCCTCCCTTTTCCCTGTTCCCATCCTTCCCTCCCAGCCTTTGCTTCATAGCAGCTGTCCCTGACCCAGAAGAGAACTGGAGTCTGATCTGCAGTTCTGTTGTGATCCTAGGGGCTGTAATGGAGGCCTCATTCACTTCATCAGGTCTAGAGGGAAGAGGCAGCAGGAGAAATTGCCCTCCACCCTCTCGGCCCCTCTCCACTCTTGGGCGGCTCCTGGGAGGAATAAGGGTGGGGAAATGGGGGAGGACAGGACATCCTCTTGGCAGGACATAGGACAACAGGCCGGAGGTTCCCAGACCCTGTCAGGGCCATAGGGGGAAAGGTCACTAGGTCCTAGGACTCACCAGGAGTGCCTCAACAGCCAGGCTGTTGCTCACTACACCTGGCCTACTAGGACTTGTGAGAGCCCCTGTTTTCCTCCTAGGACCTGAGAGAACCAACTTCGCTACCAGGACTCACAGAATCTGTGAGAGTTTCCATCCCATATCAGAGTCCACGGAAGCTACTCTACCCTCTTAGCCTCCTAGCTGTGCTTCACACTTGGCATAGCACCCACTTGCTATCTATGGGCACCGCTGCATGTCTGACTTAACTCTAAGTGGGAAATGGCACCTGTGAGCACGTTGGCATAGAGCTCAAGTCTGGATTTGCCTGTTCCCCTTACTAAGAGGGTCACCATGTGACCTAGGGTCTCTGCCCCAGGGATCCATGCACAAGACATGCTCTACAAGTGAGAAGGAAAACAGCAAGGAAAAGAAACCCTTTGTTGGGGATCTGGTAGGACTGCTCCAAAACTTTGTCAAACTTTGTCTCCACTTCTTACCTTTATGTCTTTCTTCCCTTTCTCATGGTTCCACTTCAAATTTTTTTAAATCTCTTAAAAATATTGAGACTGGCCAGGCAGTGGTGGTGCATGCCTTTAATCCCAGCACTCCAGAGGTAGAGGCAGGCGGATCTCTGTGAGTTCGAGACCAGTCTGGTCTACAAGAGCTAGTTCCAGGACAGCCTTCAAAGTTACAGAGAAACCCTGCCTCAAAAAAAAAAAAAAAAAAAAAAAAAAAAAAAAAAAGAGACTGGGGAGATGGCTCCATTTTTAAGAGTATTGGTTGTGAGCTGGTCAGTAGTGGTGCACACCTTTAATCCCAGCACTCAGGAGGTCTACAGAGTGAGTTCCAGGACAGCCAAGAATACACAGTGAAATCCTGACTTGGTTTGCTCTTCCAGAGGACCAGGGTTCAATTCTCAGCACCTACACGTGACTCAAAACTGTCTGTAACTCCAGTCCCAAAGGATTCAAAGCCCTATTCTGGCCTCTGAGAGCACTGCATGAAGATGATACCTGGAGATGCATACTGACAAAATACTCAGATACATAAAATAATTTTTAAAATATTTTAACAACAACAAAAAAGCCAGGTGGTAGTGGTGTACGCCTTTAATCCCAGCCCTGGGGAGGCAGAGGGAGATTGATCCCTGAATTCAAGGCCAGCCTGGTCTACAGAGTGAGGTTTTTTTTTTTTTTTAAGATTTATTTATTTGCCGGGCGTTGGTGGTGCATGCCTTTAGTCCCAGCACTCGGGAGGCAGAGGCAGGCCGATCTCTGTGAGTTCGAGACCAGCCTGGTCTATAAGAGCTAGTTCCAGGACAGCCTCCAAAGCCACAGAGAAACCCTGTCTCAAAAAAACAGAACAAAAAAAGATTTATTTGTTTATTTAGTGTACACTGGGACTTTTGCCTGCATGTATGTTTGTATGAGGGCGTCAGATCTCCTGAAGCTGGAGTTACAGATAATTATGAGCTGCCATGTGGGTGCTGGATATTGAACTGGGTCCTTTGGAAGAGCAGCCAGTACCCTTAACCACTGAGTCATCTCTCCAGCCTCCCAGAGTGAGTTTCAGGACAGCTAGGGCTGCACAGAGAAACCATGTCTCAAATATATAAGTGTGTGTGTGTGTGTGTGTGTGTGTGTGTGTATGTGTATGTACATATATTTTTTTTTACTTATTTTATGTGCATGTGCCTGAGTATATTTATACATACTCTACATGTGTACAAGAGTCCATGGCAGCCAGAAAAAGGCATTGGAGCCGAGCATTGGTGGCACAAGCCTTTAATCCCAGCACATGGGAGGCAGAGGCAGGCAGATGTCTGTGAGTTCCAGGTCAGCCTGGTCTACAGAGCAAGTGCCAGGATAGGCTCCAAAGCTACACAGAGAAACCCTGTCTCAAAAAAACAAAGAGAGGGAGAGAGACAGAGACAGAGACAAAGACAGAAACAGAGAAAGGCATTGGATCCTCTGAACAGTTTTGAACCATCACTAGGTGCTTGGAACTGAACCCAGGTCCTCTGAGACATTTCTCTAGACCCACCTCCAATTTTTACATCTTTTCAAAAAATTAATCTCTATTAAAATCTAATTTGTACATATGATAGTCACCCATATTAAGTACAGCACAAATGAATTTTAACAAATTCATGACTATGCCCTCTTGTCATGAATGCCATGGTTCTAAGATTTCATGTAAACAGAATCATGCCTTTTGTATGGTAGTGGTGAAAGGTTCAGGCATTATGGTGGCCTGGCCCCGTTACCTGGCAGAATCTACTCAGGCAGAATCCTGGTCAGCCCAGTGTTCCATGGGAACTAAGTCTGCACACAGGTGTAAAGGACCCCTTTAAAAGACAGACCACTACCCACTTACACGCTCTCTCCTTTCTCCCTTCTCTCTCTTCTCCTACTCTACTCTAATGCCCTCTTTGCTCTCTTCTACTCTCACGACCTCTTCTCTTACGTTCTCTTGCTCTCTTGCCCTCTCTCTCTTCTCTTCCTCACTTCTCTCTCTTGCCTTCCTCTCTCTCCCACTCTCCCCCTCCCCCACCTGGAATAAACTATGGTTAATGTAGCTCTCATTCTCACATCTCATCTTGCACCTCTCTTTTATATTTTTAAACTTTTACTAAAGAACAACAAATGGTATGTATGTGGGAGTGGTCATGGTAGTGGTGGTGGTGGTGGTGGTGGTGGTGTGTGTGTGTGTTGCTTCAAGTAGTACTTGGGATTAAATCTAAGATCTATGCCCTCCAGGTAAGTGCTCTACCACTTAGATACATCCTAAACTCTCTTATTATTTCCTTGAGAGAGGGCTTCACCTAGTTGACCAAACTGTCCTTGAATTCACTCTGTAGCCAAAGCAGACCTTGAACTTTAATCCTTTTGCCTTAGCCTCCTCAGGAGTTGGAATTACAGACCTGTGACACCAGCCTTGGCTCCATATGTGGTATTCTATACATGGCTGTTTCACTTAGCATAAAATCTCTGAGATGCTTTTCTTCCCATTGTATAGAAGCATCCAGCTTGTTTATTGGTCACCAGTAGATGGATAATTGGGTTTTCCTAGTTTCAAGACATTATGATTCATGCTATGAACATCTGAGGACAAGTCTGTATAAACATGTTTAATTTCTTTTTGATAGACTCTGGAACAGAAGCTGGGTATGTTGCTCAGGGGTAGAGTGCTTGCCTAGTATGTTCTAAGTTCTGGCCTCAATACTCAGCTCTGCAAAACAACAAAAACAAAAGTAAAAAAGACTGGTGTTGTTCTATGTTCTGTATCGTGTTTTCTAAACTTTTTATATATTTGATTTTGGTTTCCCATTATCAGTTGTAGACCTCTAGAGGTGGAGATCTTACTTCTGTTTCTCATTGTCTTAATCTGGCTGTTTCTGTGATAAAAGATTTACCAAAATCAACTTGGGGAGGAAAGAGTTTATTTCACCATATAGTTTATAGTCCATCATGAAGGGAAGTCAGGATAAGAACTCAAGGCAGGAACCTGGAGGGAGTGAACTGAAGCAGAGGCCATGGAGGAACACTGCTTCCTGGCTTGTGCACTCCTCTCTCTCTCTCTCTCTCTCTCTCTCTCTCTCTCTCTCTCTGTGCCCTACAGACTCCCCTATAGGCCAGTCTGATGAAGGCATTTTTTTCAGTATAGTTCCCTTCTCCCAGATGACACTGGCTGTGTCAAGTGGACATAAAAAGCTAACCAACATACTCACTGATAGAAACAGAGAACTGAACTAAAGCACATCTCTTGACCAAAAGAATATTCTTGAATGGATAAACTAATGAATGAATGGTGGATTTGGGTCCTATCAAGGGGGTGGAAGCAATAAAAGTGATGCTGATGTTAGGAATGGGGCAGATGAAAACAATGTTCGCCTAAGACCGCTGGAAAACATAGGTATTATAATTCACAACAGTAGCAAAATTAGTTATGAAGTAACAACGAAAATAATTTTATCCTCTCAGGCCCATGGCACCAGCAAGATAGGCAAGTGTCATGGTCTCCATACTGCCAGGAAGCTCTGCAGTCACCGACGGGACCAGAAGTGGCATGATAAACAATACAAGAAAGCCCACTTGGGCACAGCCTGAAGGCCAATCCTTTCTGAGGTGCCTCTCATGCAAAAGGAATTGTGCTGGAAAAAGTAGGGGTTGAAGCCAAACAGCCAAATTCTGCTCTCTGGAAGTGTGTCAGGGTGCAGCTCATCAAGAACGACAAGAAAATCACAGCTTTCATGCCCAGTGATGGCTGCCTGAACTTCATTGAGGAAAACGATGAAGTTCTGGTTGCTGGGTTTGGTCGAAAAGGTCATGCTGTAGGTGATATTCCTGGAGTCTGCCTTAAGATTGTTAAAGGAGCCAATTTGTCCCTTTTGGCCCTGTACAAAGGCAAAAAGGAGAGATCAAGATCCTAAATTTTGACAATGGAAGAACAGTAATAAATTTTTATATTCTGAAAAAAAAGAAAAGAAACTAATTTTATGGTTTGGGTCATCACACCATGAAGAGCCGTATTAAGGAGTCACAGAATTAGGGAAGTTGAGTGATGGGGGATGTCCTTCTCTATATGTGCTTCTCTTATTGGTTGATGAGTAAAACACTGTTTGGCCAATAGAGGCAGGAAGATAGGTGGAATTAGGAAACGAGAATTCTGGGAAAGATATATGGAGAGAGACCTCAAGGAGACGCCATGTAGAGACCAGGAGGATAGGATGTGTCAGGCGTTCTCTAGTAAGATAAGGCCATGTAGAAATATATAGATTAGTAGTTATGGGTTAATAATTAAGTCAGAGCTAGCCAATAAGAAGCCCTGGCCATTGGCCAACAGTTTTATAATTAATATAGCATCTGTGTGTTTATTTGAGGCTAAAGCAGCAGTGGGACTGGACTGGAAGAAACTCCAGCAACAGTTGAGAAATACTGCCTTAGAACCTGATGTCATCAAAATATATACACTCTGAAACAACCATTTCTCCTTCCTCTGTGTCTATCATGTTGACCCCCAAGACTGTTATATCACACAACTGCTTTCTACAGCTACTCTTCTGTACTTTTTAGCTGCTTTCTCATCCAGTTTAATTTTGTGGTCCATCATTAAGAGTTGCTTCCTGGAATTACCAGAGGATTTGAATTTTAGTCTTCTTGTAGTATCCATCTGAGAACTCGGGCCAACACTCAAGCCACTGCTCATGCTGACACATCAACCTAGGAAGCCTGTGGAACCATGGATCATGACACTTTTCCTAAACACTTAGGATTTTGTATATTTAATTTTATAAAACATTTTCTAAGCTAGGCATAGTGGCAAACACCTTTAATCCCAGTACTTGGGAGGCAGGAGCAAAAGTCGGATCTTTGTGAGTTTGAGGGCAGCCTGGTCTACATAGTGAGTTCCAGGACAGCCAGAGCTACAGAGTAAGACATTTCCCAAAACTGAAAAACAAAATAAAAATAAGTTTTAGAATTATTTTTATTTTACATGTATGGGTGTTTTGTCTCTTTGTATATCTACCTGTTCACCATATGCATACTTTGTGCCCAAGGAAGACAGAAAAGGGTATTGGATTCCACTGGGACTGGAGTTCCTAGTTGTGAGCTGACCTGTGGGTAATGGGAATTGATGCTGGGTCCTCTAGAAAAGTAGCCAGTGCTCTTAACCACTGAGCTATGTCTCCAGTCCTAAATTTTTTGTTTGTTTTTAACAGCTGGACAGTGGTAGCACGTCTTTAATCCCAACACTTGGGAGATAGAAGTAGGCCAGATCTCTGAGTTTGAGGCTACCTTGGTCAGCAGAGTGAGTTCCAGAACAGCCAGGACTCCACAGAGAAACCCTGCCTCGAAAAACCAAGAAAAAAAAAAAAAAAAAAAAAAAAAAGGAAAGGTAGCCTCAAACTTCTAAAGATGACCTTAATTTTTGTATCCTCCTGTCTCTACTTTCCAAGTACTAGGGCTACAGGCATACAACACCTTACTCAGTTCTATGTGTGCTAAGTATTGAACCTTAGGATTTGTATATGTTTGAAAAGTACTCTACTCATTGAAGGTCATCTCCAATCCAGAATCATGTCTCTTGATTGTCTCATCTTGAAACTTTTTTCATGACTTTTTGATCATCTGTCAGTGTTAACTACAAGCTCTCCACACTAGAGCTGTGCACTTGTTCCTAGAGCACCAAAAGGAATGCCCAGGAATTCCATAGGCATTAAAATCAGATGCTCAGATTCCTTGTATAAAATGTAGGCTTTGCTTATAACTTGAATGTATCCTTCTAGGTGGGTAAATACTCTACCACTGAGATACATCCCCTAACATAGAATTTAATCTTTAAATAACTTATAACACAATATAAATAAATTATGTGCTCAGTTATGGATGTATTCTTCTTCCAAACGTTTTGAACCTGAGGTTGGGTAAATCAGACCACTCTGTGCATACAGAGAAGGAAGGTCGATTGCCTTTGTGAAATACAACAAAGTTTGGTATCTTCAGCGGTGGCTTCCTTTCAAACTCTGTGCCTTGATTTTGCAAGTCTGCAAGTCTCACTTATCTTCCTACCTCCATCCCAGGTCTCTACAGCCCACTGGCCTTGTTCTCACATGCACAGAAAACCCAGCTTGGGGCTCTCCAGGTTTAATCTGAAGATTAATTCTTATAGTCAGTCTCAGTTTCTGTTCTCTGTAGTCTTTTTGTTGTTGTTGTTAAACCCTCACTTGGACCTTTATTTGAAAATATTTGCTGGTATCTAGGCAAAATGGCCATGCCTGTAATCCTCATTGGGGAAGTAGAGGAAGAAAGATTAGTAGTTCAAGGTCACCTTTGGCTACATATCAAGTCTGCGTCAACTTGAACTACATGAGACCTATTTCAATAATTAAAATATCAGGTGAATAAACTTTTCTGAGGATGGTGAAGGTGGAAGTGAAGAGGACAGAGAATGAGGCACCCAGATCACTACTACCAAGAGCAAAGAATGGCCACAAAATAAGAGCTACTTCATTTGCCCTGATGGTGTCCATGGTAGAAACCCAGCTAGGCAGAAAAGGAAGTCCACCCTGGCATCTGATGCTTATTACATAAGGGACCCCTGCTGCCCTGCTGGCACTACTCCCACCCAGGTCCACAGGCCCTGCCTGGGACTTTCCAAGGGCAGAGCCAATGACCAGGAGTCTTTGCTAGGGCATTTAGGGCACCCAGTCATTTCCTGAGAAGCCTCCCTTCCTTTGCTCTTCTTCCTCCCTACCTCCCACTCTGGGGGGTTTCCGTAAGTCCAAGGTCTGCTATTTTCAGTTGAGAGAGGGACCAGTTATTTGACCCACTGTTGCTCCTACAGGAACCTTCGAAAAATAAATTGGGGATGGAATTAGGACAGGGATAGCAGGAGTCCTCTTTTCCCTGGTCCTCATACCCAGATACACCTGGCACAGAGGGTGGCTCCCTAGCTGGACTCTAAGCCTGTGGACAAGGTTACTTGCCTTGGGGAGGGTGGACTCAGGGCCTGGGTAGGATGCCACCTTCTTCCTGCAGCCTCATTCTAGCACTTCAAAGGCTTCTTGAGGCTTTGTGGTCACTCTGGGCTCCTGACCAACTAGAGGGGTTGGGGAAGCACTTGTTCCCTCAGAGTTTTTTGTTTGTTTTTTATTTTTGTTTTTTCAAGACAGGGTTTTTCTGTGTAGCCTTGAATGTCCTGGAACTCGTGCTGTAGGCCTTGACTCACAGAGATCCACCTGTGTGTGTGCAGCCAGCTGGGTGGTTGTGGCTCTCTCCTTAAATCCCAGCACTTGGGAGACAGAGGCAGGCGGATCTCTGTGAGTTTGAGGCCAGCCTGGTTTAGAGAGCTAGTTCCAGGACAGCTAGGACTGTTAGACAGAGAAACCCTGTCTCGAAAAACAAAACAAAATGACAAAAAAAAAAAAAAGGTGTGTATAGCCACCACCAGGCTGCATCCTCAGTTTTGACTCAGCTCAGAGAAGCTTCAAAGTGGTGAGGGTAGACAGAGGGTGTGCTTATCACCAGAGCTGGGGTGGTGGACATCATAGCTCCTTCTCTGCTCCTTTCACCTTCTCTGCCTCACTACCTTCCCTGAGTGGGGCCCAGGGCAAAGATACAGACACTTTCCTGGCCCACAGATCCTGTCTTGGATCAAGTGCCTCCTGGGATCTGTGATGTGTGTAGGTGTGGGTGGCCTGACCCTGAAGTCCCAGATATAGAAGTCACAGGAATCAAGGTGTGGGTACCTTCCAGGCCAATCTCCTTTTCTCTCTTTTGTCCCTTCTGTTCTGTTCCTTCTCTATTCTCCTATCCATGGTAGGTAGGCCCCAGAGTAGAGAGTAAGAAAGGGAAATGAGAAGAAGGGCCAGTTTGTTTGGGCTTGCCATGGGATCCTGGCCCCTACTATCCAGGCTGTGGTGGGTTTGACCCCACTACAAATCCCTGTCCTCGGTGGATGGAGTGGAGTGAGTTGCAGCTCTGGAGCAGCTGCCCTAAACTGGGGCCAATGCTGAGAACAGAGAGTGCCTGGGGGATGGGGCAAGTTCCAGAGTCCCTTGGGATCAGCTCTGGGACAGTTGCCATTTTTAATCTGTGCAAGTGACTTAGAAGGAGCCGCGAGGGCCATAACCTAGATCAGCACAAAGTAAGCTGGGTAGGTGAGCCCCCTCCCCCAGCCATGTGCCAGAGGGTGAAAGAGGCCCTGGTCACAGTCTTCTATCATATAGGACACAGATGTGGGTCTGTTGTGGCTCTGCATATCCAAGGCCTGTCCACATATCAAGAGACACTTGGCTCTGGGCTGGCTCTCTTCCCCCACCCCCAAACCCCAGGACTCTCCCCAAACTGGGGTCACCCTTGAACTCACAGTCCTGGATGCTTAGGCCTCAGTGGAAGCCAGCTTTCAATCTACCATCCAGGGAGGTTGGAGTTGTAGGCCCAAGGGAGGAAGGCACAGGGCAGTCAACTTAGCCAGGAAGCACTTTGCCTCTGCCAACACTACCTGGGTAAAGAGTAGATTTGGTTCCAGACCAGACTTCATTCTTAGGAACCACTCTGAAGCACAGCTTTCATGCTTTTCAGTGACTTCTCTGGGTAAGTAATGACTACACAGCTGGCTGACTTCAATTTCCCTTTTAAGCCCCAGGCCCACTTCCTACCACTGGAGCCCTCTGGCTGTGACAAGCTTAGTGAGAGGAGAGTGACAGGGTGCTGAGCAGGGTCCTTAGGTCATGCCTTAATTCTCTGTGAGCTTAAAATGGACTATCCTTTCTGTAGCAATTTATAGGGTGCCACTACCCTTTAGTTTTCCTATAGTTCCTTTCAAGAAGCCAGGAAAGATGTGGATAACATTTTCACTGTGGGGATCTCGGTACCCTCTCACAGAGTTGAGTCTCCTTGCAAGTCTCTCTTCTGGGACCCTCTTGAC